CTGCGCGCCCCCGGCCCCTGCTCCTCTCCTCTGCGCGCCCCCGGCCCCTGCACATCTCCCCTGCGCGCCCCCGGCCCCTGCTCCTCTCCTCTGCGCGCCCCCGGCCCCTGCTCCTCTCCCCTGCGCGCCCCCGGCCCCTGCTCCTCTCCCCTGCGCGCCCCCGGTCCCTGAGCCTCTCCTCTGCGCGCCCCCGGCCCTGAACCTCTCCTCTGCGCGCCCCGGGCCCTGAACCTCTCCCCTGTTAGCCCCTTTGCCCCCGAGCCTCTCCCCTGCGCGCTCCCGGCCCCTGTGCCTCTTCACGGCGCGCCCCCGGCCCCTGCACATCTCTGCGCGCCCCCGGCCCCTGAGTCTCTTCCCGGCGCGCCCCAGGCCCTTGCACCTTTCCCCGGCGCACACCCGGCCCCTGCTCCTCTCTTCTGCGCGTCCCCGGCCCCTGCACATCTCCTCTGCGCGCCCCCGGCCCCTGCACATCTCCTCTGCGCGCCCCCGGCCCCTGCACATCTCCCCTGCGCGCCCCCGGCCCCTGCTCCTCTCCCCTGCGCGCCCCCGGCCCCTGCTCCTCTCCTCTGCGCGCCCCCGGCCCCTGCTCCTCTCCTCTGCGCGCCCCGGCCCCTGAGCCTCTCCCCTGCGCGCCCCCAGGAGCTGGAGCTCAAGCACGAGCAGCAGCAGAAGATCCTGCGGATCAAGACCGAGGAGATCGCCGCGTTCCAGAGGAAGCGGCGCAGCGGCAGCAGCGGCTCCGTGTTCAGCCTGGAGCAGCAGCAGGTGGGCACCCCAGGGACACCCACCGCCCGCCCGGTGGGGCTGCCCACCCAGCGGGGCTGAGCGCTGAGCACCCGCCCGCCTGCCCCCGCTTCCCCTCAGAAGATCGAGGAGCAGAAGAAGTGGCTGGACCAGGAGATGGAGAAGGTCCTGCAGCAGCGGCGCGCGCTGGAGGAGCTGGGGGAGGAGCTGCGCAAGCGCGAGGCCATCCTGGCCAAGAAGGAGGCCCTGATGCAGGAGAAGACGGGGCTGGAGAGCAAGCGCCTGCGGTCCAGCCAGGTGGGGGCCGCCCCCTGGGGTCGGGGCTACATACACCCCAGGACGGGGCCTGCCCTCCCCTAACGCCCTGGGTGCTGCCCCAGGCCCTCACCGAGGACATCGTGCGGGTGTCCAGCCGGCTGGAGCACCTGGAGAAGGAGCTGTCCGAGAAGAGCGGGCAGCTGCGCCAGGGCAGTGCCCAGAGCCAGCAGCAGATCCGCAGAGAGATCGACGCCCTGCGCCACGAGAAGGACTCGTTGCTGAAGCAGCGCCTGGACATTGATGGCAAGCTGCGGCAGGGCAGCCTGCTGTCCCCCGAGGTGCGCCCGCAGAGGGGGGGCTGGGGCTGGAGCGCGCGCTGGGCGGGCCCCTGCTCTGGCCTCTTGTCTGGGACGCACGGGCTGGGCCTGGTTCCCCTCCAGCTGGAGTCGGACCCTGACCTGTGCTGCTCTGACCCCGGCCCAGCATCTCGGCTCCAGTGTGGGACTGAGTGTGGGGACCACACCTGTGTCTCTTCCCCGGGGGTCCCGCCTCGTCCTCCCTTCAGTGTAGGGTATTCTGAGCTCCTCTAGGGGCAGAGAGCAGCCTGTTAGCAGAG